CTAAATGTACTCTTTTATAATCTTTTCCTCTGCATCCCAGTGACACAGAAGTGCTGTTGGTGAGACTGTAGAAGCTGTACTTGTCTCGTAGGTGCCCTGCGTTCCCCTGCGAGTGTTCCTCTGTGCCTAACCACCTGGTCACCTTCTTTGGGTCTGCTGGTAGTGAGGTGTCTTGGACAACTAAGGCGAATGTTCCAGGAACGTGCCTTTTTCTATGGACAAGCCCGTCTCCGCAGAAGTTGCAGATTAGCATCCCTGCAGAGGGTGACTTGTATCTGCTGCTTCACCTGCTTCCCTGATTTCTGACATACTCACTGCCTTGTCTTCTAGACACAGAATTTCCTTGAGTTTTAACCCACAGACCTATCTTCGCTGTGGCTTTTTGTGTGTTTTGGCTTTTTGGCTCTTCTAGACCCAACTTTCCACTCTGCTACTGTGACGAATCATCCCCTAAGGGCTGCCAGGATTTCTAGAACACTTACACCTACGGGGAACGGGGGAGCCATGCTGCGTGGAACCGGGGGAGCAGTGCTGCGTGGAACCGGGGGAGCAGTGCTGCGTGGAACCGGGGGAGCAGTGCTGCGTGGAATTGGGGAGCAGTGCTGAGTGGAATTGGGGAGCCGTGCTGAGTGGAATTGGGGAGCCGTGCTGCGTGGAACCGGGGGAGCAGTGCTGCGTGGAACCGGGGGAGCAGTGCTGCGTGGAATTGGGGAGCCGTGCTGAGTGGAATTGGGGAGCAGTGCTGAGTGGAACCGGGGAGCAGTGCGGAGTGGAATTGGGGAGCAGTGCTGAGTGGAACTGGGGAGCAGTGCGGAGTGGAACGGGGGGCAGTGCTGAGTGGAACTGGGGAGCAGTGCGGAGTGGAATTGGGGAGCAGTGCTGAGTGGAACTGGGGAGCAGTGCGGAGTGGAACGGGGGAGCAGTGCTGAGTGGAACGAGGAGCAGTGCTGAGTGGAATTGGGGAGCAGTGCTGAGTGGAACCGGGGAGCAGTGCGGAGTGGAATTGGGGAGCAGTGCTGAGTGGAACGGGGAGCAGTGCTGAGTGGAATTGGGGAGCAGTGCGGAGTGGAACTGGGGAGCAGTGCGGAGTGGAATTGGGGAGCAGTGCGGAGTGGAATTGGGGAGCAGTGCGGAGTGGAACTGGGGAGCAGTGCTGAGTGGAATTGGGGAGCAGTGCGGAGTGCTGAGTGGAATTGGGGAGCCGTGCTGAGTGGAATTGGGGAGCCGTGCTGAGTGGAATTGGGGAGCAGTGCGAAGTGGAATTGGGGAGCAGTGCGGAGTGGAACTGGGGAGCAGTGCTGAGTGGAACTGGGGAGCAGTGCGGAGTGGAACTGGGGAGCAGTGCGGAGTGGAACGGCAGTGCGGAGTGGAATTGGGGAGCAGTGCTGAGTGGAACCGGGGAGCAGTGCGGAATGGAACTGGGGAGCAGTGCGGAGTGGAACTGGGGAGCAGTGCGGAGTGGGAATTGGGGAGCAGTGCTGAGTGGAACCGGGGAGCAGTGCGGAGTGGAATTGGGGAGCAGTGCGGAGTGGAATTGGGGAGCAGTGCTGAGTGGAACCGGGGAGCAGTGCGGAGTGGAATTGGGGAGCAGTGCTGAGTGGAACGGGGAGCAGTGCAGAGTGGAATTGGGGAGCAGTGCTGAGTGGAATTGGGGAGCAGTGCGGAGTGGAACGGGGGAGCAGTGCGGAGTGGAACGGGGGAGCAGTGCGGAGTGGAATTGGGGAGCAGTGCTGAGTGGAATTGGGGAGCAGTGCTGCGTGGAACGGGGGAGGAATGCGGAGTTCTTGAGTAAGGGAGTGACATGATGAAATTGATATTTTAGGAAGATGAACAGGGAATTAAGGAGGTACAGGGACTGAAGTCGGCAAGGTCATCTACACAATGTTTGTTGTAATAATGTCATTCAAGGGTGTGCATATCATGGCATTATCTTGTGTAATTCTTACAATCTCCCGGTGAGGGGTCATGTCTGAGACACAGAGGCTGGCTAATGGAAGGATTTGATCCAGCTCACGTGGAAGCCACTTCATGGTTAGGTGTCTGGCTTCCCAAAGGTACTTGATTACCGCTTAAAAAATGAATGTGGGGAAGCTTGGACTTGGACACAGGTTCTTTCTACGTGGAATAAAGTGGTAGCTGAGAGGAAGCGAGAGGGGAGAGGAGGCAGAAGGATGGACCCCTGAGGTATTTGGGGCTGAAGTAGGCATATTAGGTGCTGAAGGAGGAGATGGGTAAAGGAGGCTGCTAAGAACCTGAGTCTGCTTTCCGGACAAATGAGAGAGCCAGGGGAGTAGGGAAGCAGAGCTGGAATTGAGAGTTTGGGTTCTGTTGCTACCTTCTAAGATGGAACAAAAGTCTGGGTGTCCACTCAACATCAGTGCTCGGGCAGGCAGCCGCAGACGCAGGGAGCTCGGTACCTGGGGGCCTCATTAGCTCAGCTGTGGGAGGGGAGTTGGGGAGCGGCAGCGGGTGGAAATGATCTTACCCAGCTGGAGAGGCTAGCCAAAAAAGGAGCAGGTATGGGCTTGCCTGGAAGGCTATTTTAGCAGAAGGAAGACGAATAGTCAGCTAAAGACTGTGCAGTGTCTGCACCGCAAATGGGGAGATTTGAGCAAAGGAGAGGGCAGAAGAAAGGTGCAAGAGTGACACAGTACCTCACCATTTAAAGGCAAGCCTTGACCACAACATTTTCCTGCACTTCGTACGGTGGGTTCCAGGGGAAGCCAGATTTCAGGGATTTAAAGAAGGAGTAGGTGAAGAATCAAAGGGGCCCATCCTTCATATGATTAGTCTCCACTCCTCCACTAGAAATTTGTTTATTTATTTATTTATTTATTTTTTAGACAGGGTCTTGCTCTGCTGCCCAGGGCCAGAGTACAGTGCTGTGATGATACCTCATTGCAGCCTTGAACTGCTGGCCTCCAGCAATCCTCCCACCTCAGCCTCCTGAGTAGCTGAGATGACAGGTGCACACCACCACAACTGTCTAATTTTTAAATTGTTTGTATGTAGAGAGTCTTGCCATGCTGCCCAGGCTGGTCTCGAACTCCTGGCCTCAAGCAGTCCTCCCAACTGGGCCTCCCAAAGTACTGGGATTATAGGTGTAAACCACCATGCCTAGCCTCTTTTTTAAAAATTATTTTTTTGGCCAGGCGCAGTGGCTCATGCCTGTAATCCCTTTGGGGATTACACTCCAGGAGGCCAAGGCGGGAGGATCACTTGAGCTTAGGAGTTGGAGACCAGCCTGGCCAACATGATGAAACCCAGTCTCTACTAAAACACAACAATTAGCCAGGCATGGTGGGTACCTGTAAGTCCAGCTACTGGGGAGGCTGAGGCAGGAGAATCACTTGAACCTGAGAGTCAGAGGTTGCAGTGAGCCGAGATCACACCACTGCACTCCAGTGTGGGTGACAGAACAAGACACTGTCTCAAAAACATTTTAATTTTTTTTAGAGACAGAGTGTCCCTCTGTCACCCAGGCTGCAGCGCGGATCACAGCTCACTGCAGCCTTGAACTCCTACGTCAACTGATCCTGCTGCTTCTGCCTCCCAAGTGCTGGGACGCCAGGTGTGAGCCACCGTGCCGCGCTAGAAATTCCTTGATGGTGTATGGGGCCACATCTGGAATGACTGTGCCTGACACCAACAGATGACCAGGAACTGAGCTCACGGGTCCGTTACCAACCACGACTCTGGGTGCCACCAGGGGGCACCAGAGCCCAGGGCTTCACGAGGCTCTGTTTCGGAAAAGCCCATGATGACCTCAGCGTTTGTCATCTCTTGGCTCGTCTGGCTCTTGCTGTGGTTGGGCAGAGGGGGCAGGTGTGTGGGAGCGGCTGGCAGTGCCTCCTCTCAGTGGCCTAGTAAGGCTTTGAAAACTGAATTGCTCGGGGGCACGTGAGCACAGCCCCCTTGGCCGCTCCAGGGACCCCCGACTTGGGCAATAGGGTGAAGGCACAGTCTGTTCTCGGTCCCGGGAGGATGTGGCCGGGGTTAGCAGATACGCACGACGCCTGAGAATCCTTCAGAAATCCCTCTCTTCACCTCCGCCAGGAGGCAAGTGATCCCCTCCTGACTCAGAAATGGTGGTCCTTTGTCAAGTGCGACCGTCCTGATCCCAGCCCTCCCTTCCCTGGGCCTTAGCCCGGCCTCCTTCGAGGCAGTGAGGGTGTGCTTGGGAACAGACTGGCTCCTCCTCCCCGCCAGCGGTTGCCTTCAGCCAAGCACCTCCCACATCTGGTAGCAGGTTGGAATCTCTTAGGGAGCCTTTAAAAACTAAGATGCTGGCCAGGCGCGGTGGCTCACGCCTGTACTCCCAGCATTTTGGGAAGCCAGGGTGGGTGGGTCATCTGAGGTCAGGAGTTCGAGACCAGCCTGACCAACATGGTGAAACTCTGTCGCTATTCAAAATACAAAAATTAGCCAGGTATGATGTGATGGCGGGCGCCTATAATCTCAGCTACTCGGGAGGCTGAGACAGGAGAACTGCTTGAACCTGGGAGACAGAGGTTGCAGTGAGCCAAGGTCACACCACTGTACTCCAGCCTAGGTGGCAGAGTGAGACTCTGTCTCAAAAACAAACAAACAAACAAAAGAACTAAGATGCTAAGGCTGGGCGGGGTGGCTCATGCCTGTAATCCCAGCACTTTGAGAAGGCTGAGGCGGGAGAACAGCTTGAGCCCAGGAGTTCGAGACCAGCCCAGGCAATGTCTTGAGATCCTGTCTCTACAAAAAAACCAAAAACAAAACAATAAAATGAAGATGCCAACCGCCATCCAAGTGGTCCTAGGGTGGTGCCTGGGCACCAGCATTTTGTTTTGTTTTGTTTTGCTTTGAGACAGTCTCATTCTGTTGCCTAGGCTTGAGTGCAATGGTGCGATCTTGGCTCACTGCAAGCTCTGCCTCCCAGGTTCAAGTGATTCTCTTGCCTCAGCCTCCCGAGCAGCTGGGATTACAGGTACCCGCCACCACGCCCAGTTAATTTTTGTATTTTTAGTAGAGACAGGGTTTCACTGTGTTGGCCAGGCTGGTCTCGAACTCCTGACCTCATGATCTGCCCGCCTCAGCCTCCTGAAGTGCTGGGATTACAGGCGTGGGCCACCGCACCTGGCTTGGCATCGGCATTTTTGAAGCTTTCTGTGTGATTCTTGTGTGCAGCTGTATTGAAACTGTCTGCGTCTAAGGCCTTGATAGTCAGAATGTGGTCCATGGGAAGCTTGATAGAAATGCTGGATCTCAGCACCCTCCTCCCAGTTTGCTGAATCAGAATTTACGGTTCACCAAGATGCCCAAGTGATCAGCCGCACACAGTTCCAGAAGCCCTGAGCGAGTTGGTATATCGTTCTTCACCCATGCTCACCTCCTTGGCCTGAATCACAGCGTGTCTGACTTGTTCCAGTTGTAGCTGTGGGTCTCAATGTTTTGACTGTGACCTACAGAAAGAAATGGACTTTACAACGATGAAACAAGAACACCACAGAAACAATGCCTTCACTACCTGGGGTGCACTCTGCACTCTCATTCATTCAGCAGGTAGTTTTGGCACCTGCTTTGTGCCAGGCCTCGTTCTAGCTGTGTGTGTCTAGAAGAAAGCTGCTGTTGTTGGGAGGTTTCTATTCTAGGAGGAGGGCAAGGGGGTCAGAAAGTTAAAAGTAAGCCATGTATATAAAGGGCATGCTAAAAGTTATTTATTAAAATCTCTTTAAAAATTACATTTTGAGGGTGGGGTTCTGGGGTGCTGGTTGTGTTCTGTTTCTTGATCTGGGTGCTGGGTGTATTACCTGCAAGAATGCAAGCTTTCCGCACTTCTCTGGAGGTATGTTGTATGTCAATAAAAAGTTCAAAAATTACATTCTGATATATATTTTTTCTTTTTTTTTTTGAGAGACAGAGTCTTGCTCTGTCACCCAGTCTGGAGTGCAATGGCATGATCCCAGCTCACTGCAACCTCTGCCTTCCAGGTTCAGGTGATTGTCCTGTCTCAGCCTCCCAAGCAGCTGCGATTACAGGCATGCACCACCACGCCCAGCTAATTTTGTATTTTTAGTAGAGACGGGGTTTCACCATGTTGGTCAGGATAGTCTCGAACTTCTGACCTCAGGTGATCTGCTGGCCTCGGCCTCCCAAAGTGCTGGGATTACAGGTGTGAGCCACCACATCTGGCCAAACATTCTCGTATTTTTTATTCTATTATTATCCTCTTTCATGAAAAAAAAAAAGTCATTCAAAATCCACCATATTCAGTTTACCTCCCACTAAAAGTTTGCAACCGTAGTTTTTAAAACTGCTTTATTTAAAAACAAGCTGTGTGCAGTGGCTCATGCCTATAATCCTAGCACTTTGGGAGGCTGAGATGAGTGGATTGCTTGAGGCCAGGAGTTCAAAACCAGCCTGGCCAACATGACGAAACCCCATTTCTACTAAAAATACAAAAAATTAGCTGGGCGTGGTGGCGGGTGCCTGTAATCCCAACTACTAGGGAGGCTGAGGCAGGAGAATCGCTTGAACCCGGGAGGCAGAGGTTGCAGTGAGCCGAGATTACACCACTGCACTCCAGCCTGGGCAACAAGCCTGAAACTCCATCTCAAAAAAAAATAAAAACAAACAAACTAGAAGCCCAATCCCTCAGCAGCAGCCACCCACTCTTGGCTTAGCAGCTGCCGGCAGGTGTGAGCCAGGCTGCCCGCTCCCCAGCAATGGCTTTCCTTGCCCTCTTGCTTACCCCACAGTGCAAAACCGCCCATGGTGGAGATTCTTAAGGGCACCACCCAAAGCCTCCCTTTGGCAGCCTGGCCCACCTCCGCTCCCAGCTAGACCTGACAAGCCCTTCTTGCCGAGTCATTCTGCTGTGGGCAGCTCTCCTGCAGTCCCAGATGTAGGAGGAGACTGGCTCAGGCACGTTAATTAGAGGGTTGGGGTTATCCCTGTGGCCACCTCCCAAATCTCCTGAGACTTATGTTTTTAGTCTGGGGCTCATTCCTCATGTCAGCTCCCTAGTGCCAGAGCAGTCTCCCTCGGTGTCTCTCTGGCCACCACGGTCAGCGTCACGGACACATCCCAGCATAGCCCCAGTGCTCAGCCCCATGGCGGGGACCGTCCAGGAGTTGGTGAGGAACAGGGTGGGAGGGAGGAAGGGAGCAGGAGACCTCACTCTTTCCTCTGAACCTAAAGCTCCAGATAACCCTACACTAGAGGTCATAGGGGGCGTGACTCTGGCTTCTTGAGGGAAACTGGAGAGATGAGGGGCTGGGGAAATAGGGGGCTGGGTTGCCCTAGGAGCAGGACCAACCACGGTGGAGGCGCTTCGATCCCTAGCTTTGTTTGATTTGGAGCTTGATTTACTGGAGGGGAAGTTTGCTCTAAATCAGTTGTTTGCATCTATTGACCAATAAAATCTAGTTAGTCCTGATGCTTCCTGAAGCAGGGCTCCTGGATTTGGCGTTGCTATTTTGTGCCTCAGATTTTTTTTTTTTTTTTTTTTTTGAGACAAGGTCTGGCTCTATTGCCCAGGCAGGAGTGCAGTGGTGTGATCTTTATTCACTGCAACCTCCATCTCCCAGGTTCAAGCGATCCTCCCTCCTCAGCCTCCAAAGTGCTGGGATTACAGGCGTGAGCCACCACACTCGGCCTGTGACTTGGACTTTAGAGTCGGAAAATTGGATTTGAATCCTGGCTTCACCACTACCAGCTGTATGGTGCTGAACAAGTCACTTGGCCATGTAGAACCTCAGTTCTACCACGTGTAAAATGGGGACATTATGTTTCTCCTTGGATTGTTGTGGGGTTGGATGAGAAGAAGTGCAGAGTGCAGGGCCTTGCACAGTTGGGCTCCGTGAGCCTTAGCAATGGCCATGACTGAGGCAGTGTGAGGGAGACTGGGAAAAAACCTCCTCAGGTTCCTTCTCCCAAATCTGTTGTCTGCCGCACTTTCTTTCCTGAAGCCAGGCAACAGGGGGGTGGTCCTGGCCCAGCCTCAGGGCTCCCTGGGGCAGGGCTGCCATTACTTGCAGTGTCAGATAATTCAGTAGAAAGTTGCCCGGCCCACCTCGCAGGCAAGGCACCGCCACCCAAATCCACCCAGATGGGGTCTCGCGTAGGTTTCCGGAAGCCACCTCTTTCTCATTGCCCTACTGCCCTCTGGCCATGGCCGTGGGGTCCACTGCTGGACAGTGTGAGTGCAGAAAGAGCCAGCCCCACAGTTCCCAACGTCTGAGCTTGCCATCTACAGCGAATTGTTTTGTGATTACACCCATCTTCTAGATGAGGGACAGTAACAAGGGTTGAGTGGCCCTGAGCCCTGGGATTCCAAGCGCCCGCTGCCCAGGGCCGCCTCCGTTTGGGCTGGGACCCGGGCCTGCAGGCTGCCCCGCCGCTGGGAATCAGAGCTCTGGTTTTCTCCTTCTGGGGTGGGGGGTGGGGTGGGGCAGGGAGGAGACCGCTCAAGTGCAGGAATGATGAAGGTCCCCTTGCCTGGGGCTATTTCTGCCCAAGTCCTCATCAGGAATTGTCAGGCCTGAGACAAACCCTCCCTCCTTCAGGAGTCCTCCGCTGGCCCCGGGGAAAGAGGTGATGGTCCGGTGTCTGGGCCTTTCGGTTGCTACGGTGATATTAGGGCTAGAATCCCAGCCTCACTGGAGTGACCCCAGAAACCTTCCAGTGCAACCTCCTCACTTCGGAGCTGAAACCACCGAGACCAGGTGGAAGTGATTTTCACACTCGCACAGTGCAACGGCAGCTACTCGGAATGAGGGACGTTCCGGCGCTCCTCCGCTGCGCCCCTCGACTCGGCGGGACTTCCTCACCCCACTTCCCTCGGCACCGCAGGAGGGCGCAGGCCGGGCCCGGGGGTGCGGGGAAAGCGGGGTGGGGCCCGCAGGCTGGGGGCGGAGCCGGGGGCGGAGCGACGAGGCCGGGCCCTTTAAGGGGCGGGCCGACCCCCAACCCCACCCCGGGGCGGCGCAGGCGCAAGCGGGCTCGGGGCGCGCGGCAGGAGGGACGGCGGGCGGGCGGGCGCTCACCTGCGGGGGCCGGCGCGGGGCGGGCGCCCGGCGGGCCGACGTTGACGCCCGGAGGCGAGGGCGGGGAGGCGGGCGCGGGACTCGGGGGCGGCCCGGGGCGGGCGGGGAGGCCGGGGCGGGCGGTGTGAGCGGGCGCCGAGGGCAGCACCATCTGGAGGGGCGGGAGCGCGCGGCCTCTGGGGGGCAAGCGAGTGCGCTGGGCCGAGCCGGTCGAGGGCCCCCGGCGGGGCGAGCGGGAGGAGCGCGGCGGGCTGAGCCCCGCGCTGCCGGAGCAGCAGCCGCAGCGCGTCGGGGTTCTCAGCTGGGGCCCGCAGCAGCTCCGCGGGCTGAAGCTCGGCGTGGAGGAGCGGGGCGGGGTGGGCCCGGCCGTGCAGGAGGAGGGCGGCGTGGGCCCGGGGCTGCAGGAGCGCGGCGGCCGCGGCCACGAGCCCAGCCGGGGGGTGGTGTGGGGGCCGCCGGACGGCGCGGACTGGGGGCGCCCTCCGCGGTGGACGGGCTCGGCGGGCTGGCCTGTGGCGCAGGAGGAGGGGCTGGGGCCCCGCGGGCAGCACCAGGAGAAGGGCGGAGGCAGCCCCGCAGTGCAGGAGCGCGGCGAGGCCCGGGCCGGGGTGCAGGAGCGCGGAGAGGGGAGCCCGCGGAGGCTGCTGCAGCAGCCCGAGCCGGCGCCCGAGGCCGGGGAAGGCCCCCGCGAGCGCGGGGAGGGGCCAGAAAGTTCCGGCGAACTGGGGGAGCGGCAGTGGGAGAGCGTGGGGCGGGAGGCGGTGGTCCTGGGGGCGGCCCCGGAGCGCCGAAGCCGCCCGGAGCTGGTGGGGAGGGCCCGGCCGGTGGGGCCTCGGGGGCCTGCGGGGGAGGGGCGCCTGGGGGTGCAGGAGGCGAATTGGCTGCCCGGAGTGCAGGAGGGACAGGTGGTGCGGGCTGTCCAGGAAACCTACCTAGACAGAAAGGAGCCCCAGGAGGGGGAGGGACCCGGCGAGGGGCTCAGGACCCGGAGGCGCCGGCGGAGGAGGAGGTGGTGACTGGCAGACCGCCGCCCGGGCCCCACGGTGCCTCCGGAGCTGAAGGGAACGCAGGATGTAGGGGCGTGGGGAGTCGGGCACAGAAGAGTGCGGGGAACCGGGGAGCTCTGCGAGCCACTGCCTGAGGGTAGGCCCGGCCCGCGGGAACGTCTTCTGCTCGCTCAGCCTGGGCATCGCTGAAGCTGTGTCTGCGGGGAGGCAGCGGAAGGCGGCAGGTAAGGAAGCCCAGTTCTCTTAGCTGGAGTTGGTGTGCTTGGAAGCGAGAAGCTGCAGGTCACTGGCGAGAGGGTAGTCTCCACAGTGCCCTCGTTCTCTCGGCCTTTCATCCCTGGGGGGAGGAAGCAGTGCACTTTTCAGCTGCGAGGCGGGACCTCTCCCCCGCAGTACTGTGTATGGTAGTTGGAGTGATGGGGCATCTTTTTAGAGTCTAGGCAGCTCGCGGGACGTCTGGGTGGCTGCCAGGTCTGTGCAGAGGGAAGAGAGGGATAGCCGCAGGGAGGAGCTACAGGACGGTCACCCCTCCACCTGCCCCTCGGTGGCAGTAGGGTGCATCCATGGTATTTGCTCTGCTTGGTGCAGTCAGCACAGGTTGCCTCAAGTCCTCAAAACACGTCCCACAGAAGGGAAGAGAGCAGCGTGGGATTAACAGACCCTTATCTTGTAACCCTGTTGGTCACGTGAGCTGAGATGTGAGTGTGACAGCTAGTGGCTTGGACACGGCACGAGCCTGACCCGCTCCTGCCACGCCGTCCTGTCACAGCTGATTTACCCTGAGGGCCCAGAGCCAAGGATGATTAGTGGGCAGAAGGTGGGAGAGCAACTCTCTGGGTGGGACTTCATGACCCCAGCGTGAGCGGGGCGGGAGAGGAGGGTGCATCTGCACCAGAGGACTCTGGGCTGCCTCTGTGGCCCCACCGTGGGGAGGTTTGCAGATGGGCCGCCGTGGTATCGTGGGCTCTGCACCTGTCAGGGCAGGAGCTCCCAGCCCAGTCTAGAGGTAGGGCTTGTAGGGGCCAAGGGTGGGGGCTGTATTTGGCTTCTTGTTGACTGCATCATGGCCTGAGTGCCAGACCTACTCATTCCGTGTGGTGCTCCCAGGGCGGCCTGGAGGGCTGCTTGTGGGCCTTACTCTCCTAGAGCTGTTCACCTCTTACCTGGCACTGTCAGGTTCTTGCTTCCCCTGCCCCTGGGTGGGGATGGGTGCAGGGTTGCTGCCTGCCCAGGGCCTTAGCTGGGACCCCTCTCTGCCCCAGCCCGAGGTGTGGCTCTGAGTCAGATGGTCCCAGGCCCCTGTCCCGAACCAGACTGGCTGCTCTCCTATGGGGGCAGAGGGAGTGGTGCTGGAGGTAGCTGCTGGAGGAGCCGGTTAGCCTACTCCTCATACTCAAACTCGTCTGTCAGCTTCATCCCATGCCTGTCGCGCTGCCGCCCGAACACTCATGCACCGGAAGTTCAGCTGCTGTGCCCACGGTGCCCGACGCTTCTGGAATGGCCAGAGTGGCTCTCAGTGTCTGGCTTCAGTGGAGGGAACTGTCTGTTTTAAACGCGTACACACAACACACATCTTCACCTGCTTATTTCAGGTCGACGTTTTTGAACTTGTGGTAGGTGAATGGGAGAAAGGCCTTGGCATCACACAGATTGCTTTTGATCTGGTTATATCGCTTACAAGCCGTGCGACTTCCTTGGGCAGCATAGTGTCTTTAGGTTTCAGTTTCCTGGTGTGTGCGGTGGGCCAGGGCTTCCCCTGCAGTGTCCTGAGTGAAGAAACCTCAGACCCTTTGGAGCCTGGTGCCCACCTCCCAGGAGCCCAGCAGACGTTGGGGAGGAAGGGTCAGACTCTTCCCTCTGGCCCCTGAGCCCGAGATTAGCCCCCACCTTGTGCTTTGTCTAGAAGATGCAGTGTTTCTTTTTGTTTGTTTTAAGTAACAGCTTTATTGAGATATAATGACATATGGTAAACTGAGCATATTTAAAACATACAATTTAATAAGTTGTAGCCTATGTATACACCCGTGAAACCACCTCCACTGTCAAGATAGTGAACATCCCCCTTATTCCCCAGTCCCCAAAAGTTTGCTTGTGGAATCCCTCCATCCCCGCCTCCGCTGTCGTCTCCTACCCCAGGTAACAGGCTGGTCTACTTTCTGTCACTGTATCTGAGTTTGCAGCATTTACTGTAAACGGAATCCCGTCTTTCATTCAACAGAAGTGTTTTGCAGTTGGTTCACATGGTTGCACATATCAACAGTTCATTGCACACGTGTGCCAGTCTGTTTACCTGTTGACCTGTTGATGGGTTTTCAGAGAAAGCTGCTCTGAACTCTTTTGTTAGTCTTTGTATGGATGTATGCTTTTATTTATCTTAGGTAAATCCCTAGGACTGGAATGGCTGGGTCATGTGGTAGGTATACATTTAACCTTTAAGAAACTGCCAGACTGTTTTCCAAAGTGGGTGTACATTTTATATACTCACCCACTGTGTCTGAGGGTTCTGATTTGTCCACGTCTTTGATATGCCCACACCGTCATATGGTCAGTGTCTAATTTCAGACATTCTCATGTCTGGTGGTATCTCATTATGATTTTCATTTGTGTTTCCTAATGACTCATGTTGTTAAGCATCTTCTGATGTGCTCATTTGCCATATATATGTCTTTGTTGATGTGTCTGTTCAGATTGTTTGCCCGTTTTTAATTGTGTGGGTTTTTTTCATGTTGAGTTCTGAAGAGTTCTTGATATATTCTGGATATAAGCCTTTTATCAGGTATGTGATTTGCAAATCTTTTCTTCCAGCTTGTGGCTTGTATTTTGATTCTCTTAACAATGTCTTCTAAAAAAATTATCATGATCAGTGATGCAAAATGGTGTGTTTTGAAAGAGAAGTTTTAAATTTTGATTAATTTACTAATTTATTACTTTGTGGATTGCATTTTTGGTGTCATGTCCAAGAAATCTTTGTCTGACCCAGAGTCACAACAGTTTTCCCCTGTGTTTTCTTACAGCCATTTTATAGTTTTGGGTTTTACAGTGAAATCTAGGATTCATTTGGGGCTAATTTTTGTATGTGGTACAAGGTGTGAATTAATGTCCAGTTTTTTGCATGTAGAGATCTAACTGATCTAGTAGCACCATTTGTTAAGAAGATGTGTCTCTCCACTGAATTGCCTTTGAATCTTTGTCAAAAATCAATTGTTGGCCGGGCGCGGTGGCTCAGGCCTGTAATCCCAGTGCTTTGGGAGGCCGAGGCGGGCGGATCACGAGGTCAGGAGTTCAAGGCCAATCTGGTGAACATAGTGGAACCCCATCTCTACTAAAAAATACAAAAAATTAGCCTGGTGTGGTGGCGGGCACCTGTAATCAATCCCAGCTCTTTGGGCGGCTGAGGCGGGAGAATTGCTTGAACCCGGGAGGCGGAAGTTACAGTGAGCTGAGATTGCGCCACTGCACTCCAGCCTGGGCAACAGTGTGAGACTCCGTCTCAAAAAGAAAAATAAAAAAATCAATTGTTTATGTGTGTCTAATTCTGGATTCTGTTTTGTTCCATTGATCAACTGTCTGTCTTTATCCCAGTATTGCACTATCTTGATTACTGTGGGTTTATAAACAATAGTAAGTCTTGAAATCAGGGTAAGATCTCAAACTTGGTTTTGTCTTTTCAGAATTGCTTTAGCTATTCTGAGTTCTTTGTACTTCCATATACATTTTAGAATTAGTTTGTCAATTTCTACAAAAAAGCCTGCTGGAATTTTGATTGGGATTATGATCAATTTGGGAAGAACTGATGGGTTAGCAGTATGGAGCCTTGTGACCGGTGAACAGTGTCTATCTCTGTATTTATCTAGGTTTTCTTTACTGTCTCAGCAGTGCTTTGTAGTTTTTGGTATATCAGTCTTTTCCATCTTTTATTGAACATATCCTTAAATAGTACCTATTTTTATGCTATTGCCAATGATACTGGTTTTTCTTGGTAGTATTTTTTTTTATTTTTAAAAACTTTTAGTTTTGGTAAAGTATACATAACATACTACCATTTTAACCATCTGAAATGGTGGTAAATACATCATACTGTTGCACAGCCATCCCCAGCCTCCATCTCTAGGACTTTTTTCATCTTGTGAAACTGAAACTGTACCTATTAAATGGTAACTTCCCATTCCCTTTTCTCTCAGCCCCTGAGAACCACCGTTCTGCCTTCTGACTCTAAGAATTTGGCTCCTCTAGGTGCCTCATAGAAGGATAATTTTACAGTGTTTGTTCTTTTGTGACTGGCTTATTTCACTTCGGCGTAGCCTATTCAAGGTTCATTTATATGGCAGCATATGTCAGAATTTTCTTCTTTTTAAAGAGTAAATCATATTCTGTTATATGAATATATCCCTTTTTGTTTATCCATTCACTTGGATTGCTTTCACCTTT